CCTCTTCGCTCAAATACGGTCCGACGAAGACCGTCTGTGAGGTCTCGAGATTGAGATCCCGAGCGAGAAACCTCAATGGAATCGGCTTGGGCGAGGATTCCGACGACTTCTGGTCCCAGAGTTTCAAGTGCTTGAGAATGGCAATCTGCTGGAGCGCGGTGTATGTAGACAGGGCTTTGGGCGTGAAATTAGGAGCGATTCGACGGCGGAGATCCTTGTGCTTTTGCCCTAACATGTAAATCAGATTATCCTCGCCGAATAGCTTCTTCCCGAACGGGTGGCCTACGAGATTCATAGCATCGGAACGTACATTGGCGAAAATCTTGTGAGAGAGCTCGGTGTCGCTTATGAAGACGATGAAATTTCCGCCGATGTAGTTGACCGAGAAACCGGTGCCGGAGGATTTGGCCAGAGACGCCTGGATTTCCCAGAACCGGGCAGGGTTTCGGACCAGCGGAATCGCGTTTCCGACGAATGGGGGGACGAGAGCGGGGCCAGGAACGGATCGTTTCTTCTTCAAATAAGAGATCTGCTCGAGAAAGATAATGAGAAACACAAAGGACGCCACAAAAGGGAGCAGCGGCGAGAGAGTAGCCGCGAGAGAATCCATTGTCTCAGAAACAGGGAAACAAATCTGAGCAGTGAAAGAGAGAGTCGAGAAACAGATGGTTGATTAGAGCGCCATTAACGTGTTGGAAGCAGAGCTCAGAAGAAGAGGGTTTGGTTTAGGGGAGAGGCAGATGGAATTTTCCACACCATCCTTCTCTTATAAAGGGAGATTCAGAAATATTAATATTCAATTGTTGTCAAGCTGTCTTTCTTGTAATATAATTAAGTTCTACTTTTAGTATAAGATTTGCTCCTAAGTAACTTTTAAATTTCAATTTAGTCTCTATTTTTAATTCAACGATAATATTTTATCAACTAAAAGTGACTCAATGATAATATCTTACTGGAAAATATTAACTTACATTATACCGTGTAAATAATAATAATAAAGTCACATATTCAATAGTCAAAATCAGCATAGCAACGGTAATAGAAAGTAAAATTAAAACTCATGGAAAAAAGTTTTATGTTTTGATCAAATGACCCAAAAATAAGAAATCTCACTTTCCTAATCCAAAAATAGTCTTGGATCGCCTTTATTTATTTATATATATATATATATATATATAATATCTTCGGACTGGTTTGTAAACTTATTTTTACTCATGTTTACATATTTATGATATTTATATTTATTATAATTAATTTTTTATTTAAATATAAAATATTGAATACTCCGAATTTGATATTGTAAATATTAAATTATTGTAGGATCTAAATCAGTTATTCCCATAATCTTCGAATTTACTCTTCAATATATTCTACTAAAGAATAAAATTTGTTACAAAATATTTTTTAATTTCATTCCAATTTTTTCTCAATTTCAATACATTTCAACTGCAATATTTGGCTCAATCTCACCAATATTCGTCGAATAGCAGCACCACATTTTAGGAGAGTAAACTTATCGACATGATGAGGTAAGATGACAATAGAGTAATGCGGCTGCATGTATATTTATTTATCACTTACATTTTCGTTTATATGGAGATATAAACTATATTCAACTATAAACTACAACCATAATAATATATACTTATATGGAGATATAAACTTTATCGGGCTATAAACTATAACTTATATATGAACTATAAAATATATACGACATTACCATCAAATACTTTTTAAATATCCAAAATCGAACACCCAAAATCAGAAATAAAAAACAAAACCTATAATATTTAAAACGTAAACGACAGAAAATAAGTTACCGAAAACAATGGTGAAAAGCGAGCGAATTGGAAACGGGTTACTGGAGACGGAACACTAAGAAGATGAGAAGACGATTTGTCGGAAATAATGGTGAAAAGCGAGAGAAAAGAAGATGAATGAAGAAGAGGAAGAGATAACTAAAAATTTGAGATTTTTTTAGGGGAATGAAAAGAGGCATAAAATTGGATTTAAAATGTAAAGTCCCAAATCAACTATTTTTCCATTTTGAATTTCGATATCTTGATAATAATTAGCATATAAAAAAGGATATAGTGGCAAAATACATATGGGTTCTATGGTGTATTTTAAGATAAAAGTGTAAAATTTGCAGAATCAATCGCTTTGTGTAATGATCATCTCCAAATAATCTATTACTAATCTCAAAAAAGTGTCAAATTGAAAGCCCAATAGATGTTAAAATTCGAGGGGATAGCATAAATCACTGTCACGTTTTAATGATTTTTACCAACCTATTTATTACTCACCAACTTTCACCAACTTTTTAAAGAAGTCTAGCAAAATTGTACTTCTCACTGATATTTGAACCAAATCTTGTTAGATGGATTCTCTTAGGAAAGCATCTACATCTTCCACGTTTTTCTCACCATTGAAAGGAATTCACATTTGCAACATTTAGATTCTTTGAACCGTGAACTCCAACATTTATATTTTCACGACTGAATACATCTTCTACATTTTGAACGAGATAAGATATTTATTATTTAAGAGTCTGAGTTATGTTTTAATCTTTTCGTCATTTTTGGTCAAAACTCATGCGAGTTGCTCATGACTGTTGACCTAGATTTAGAAATTTTAAGAAACTCAATGGGTTGTTTATGAATTTCGATAGAGTTCAAGAAATTTGGGTCGAGTTTCTTATACCACTTGAGGTTTTATTGATTTTACCTTTCTTGAAAATTTAAAGATACTCGAGCCGAGTTTATGATCCCACTTGAGATTTCGCAAGCTTTTTAGATCCCACTCGAGATTTTCTAATTTTGCCTTCTTTAGAAATCAAAGAAAAGTCGACAATCAGAAATCGCCCAACACCCTAACCCATTTGCTACTCAACATAAAATCGTAAAAATTTAGATAAGTTGCAGAAATTTGAGTTCAAATCATACCCACCAAGTCCATATAGAATAAAGAAGAGAAAGAGAGGGAAAAATGAAACGCTCCAAATAAAATTTGGATGTAGTTTAGTTTTCTATATTTGTGTGTGAAATTTTGAAATATTGAATTTTTAGAAGTAAAGTAAAGATGTAATGTAGCCATAATTTTAAATTTTATTTTTTTCTGGAGAAGCGTAATGTAGCCATAATGGGGCTATATTTTAATCAACTTTTAATTATTTAGTTAGGCAAGTAAAAGGTTTGAAAGTTGAAATTATATCCAACTTGCCTTTACAACTCAAGTAAGAATTTGAATCTCAAATGAAAACATCAAATCAATTATCCTTTACAACTCATTAGGGCCGCACACCAAAATCATCGAAACCGATTGCAATTCAGTTCGATTTCTCAATTAACTCAAGCCGAAATATGTGTTCATACCTATTTGTTTTTTAATTATTTAACAATAACAGTCAAATTTCTGACAAACTTTTACTTATTATTTTTGGTTAGTGTGAACCTCTTACTTCTTCCAACGTGTTGCTTTTCCCAAAATCCACCCACATATTCCCAATCCCCATATCATTTATTTATTTGTTTATTTTCTTTTTTCATGAGGTCTCCCTATGGATTCAACCGCCAGCTTCATCTCTCTCTCAAGCTCCCCCTTTCTTTCTCCCATATCCTTATTCTCCGGCGACGGCGGCTCATGAAAATACCGGCGGTGGTCCAGGGATCGTGTTCATGGGCGTTCTTTTCGACCAGCCTCCACCAACGCCAGTTTTTCGCTAGGGCCTTCTCATTTACGCTACAGCCATGCGAAACCCCAAACGGGATAGACTAAATCGTTGGTTTTCGGTTCGGTTCGGGTTTTTGCTTTTTCAGTTTTAAAATTCGGTTCGGTTTTTTACTCTTAATATTTAATAAAATCAAATCGAACCGTTAACAAGAGCGGGCTGAACTTTGGAAACCATTTGTTATCAAAATTAGACAAGCGCCTGTGCTCGAACCTGAGCACGGACAATATTATCTTCAGAATTTTTCCTCTCTATTCAGTTGGTTGAGCCCTTGCCCCTGACCCTGTGCACTGTTTCATTCGAATTTCCTTCACATTTTTTCCATAAGTTTTGTAGAATGATAAAACTTCGGCGATTTTATTTTTAAATAAGAGAAAAAAAATGATATATTAGGTACTTTTAAACGGGACAAAAAATAATAATAATTGCAATTTTTCTGTACAAATATGTCAACTTTTTTTTTTAAATGAGAATATATAAATTAGTGGGACTTTTAAACTCTCATTTTAATAATTGTAACCATTGAAACCAAATTCGCAAGTATATTACAAATATAACTTTGTCAACTTTAAATTTGAAAATTTATGAATTTTTGAAATTATTTACTTCTCAATTAATATCAAGCACCTCAAAAAAAATTTTTGGATCCACCGTGGACCTGGACTCGGACTCAATTGATTTTTGTGAATTTAACCTAAGCTTAGCTTAACTAATCAGATCAAAAGATTGTAATTCAAATTCATACTAAAAAAAATCGATATATAAATATATATATATATATATATATATATATATTTAATGTTTCATATTTTATAATATGTTTGTTTGGTAGGAAAGCTCAAATTTGAATTTTCAATCTAAAATATTATCAATTAATTTATTAATATATTCATCAAAATTTTTATCTTAATGTAATTCAACCTTTTGAAAACATAACAATATATCATTTTTAGAATTTCCACTATTTAAATCATAAAATTTTAAAATAGTTTTAAAAAACAAATCTAAGATTTGGTGCATCAGGAAAGAAAAAAATTACTGACATACAAAACAGGATATAAAATTTCCATAAAAAAAAAACATTCTTTTAGTAGTTGGAGCCACCCATAATCAAAATAACACAAGGCATATAATTAAATAATTCTAATTCCACCATATTGTGTAAGTAACAGTCCTATGCTTCTTCTCCACCATATTTAAACTGGCCGTACAGGCAAAAACATTGTACAAAAGAGCATTTTCTTGAGATTCAAAGCTCATGGTTAGAAGAAGAGATACACTCGGCCAACCTACTCAAACATCTGATGATCAGTAACGTACGAGGACGCTTTCAATATAAACACGACACAATACGTTACATTCCACGCATATTCCATACCCCATCAATCAAAGCAAACACAAAAAGTGAAATTTCTACATAGCCATTTTATGCAATTCTTTGCTATGAACTCTGATTCGAGGTTGGAGGTCGTCCGCGTCCCATTGTGAATCCTCGAGTTCCATCAGGCATTTTCGGGCCTGGGGGTGGCTTCGAGAGTTCAACAGGATGAGCAGAGGATGTAGTAGTTCCGTGGCCTAGAGGAGGAGGGCAAAATATTAGGCGGCTAAATTCTTAATAACATGAAATCTACAATGAGGTGAGCAGATCAGTATACCCATTCCATTGACGCCCTTGTACTTTTGTCTTCTTGTTCGTCCTTGATTTTGATTTCGACCTCTATGCCCATGTTTGTCCTTGGTTTGATGATCGCCCTCCTAAAATTGGCAAACTTGATATTGTTATTACAACAAGCTTTTCCTTGCATTCACATCTCATAGAAAATTTCACGTTTTAGGTTCCGAGTGCTAGGTAAACTCCCAAGTTTCTCTCAATGCAATCACATAGTAATCACATTACTGGGGACTCCGACTGGTCCCGAGGAAGTTGGAAGAAAAATATTCAGAAAAATTAATCAAAAAATTTTAAAAATAACCGACAAATTTAATAGACATGTAGAAGAGCAACATTAACCTCCTCATCAGGCACATCATCATGATGGTCAACTATGTTCTGAATTTCTTCATCCCCATTTTGTTCAGTTACTCGTCCGGTGCTGTTCTTTTCTGGATCAGATCCTCTCCGGTGTTGTTTCCTCTGGCCATGCTTACTCTGAAGTTGAGAACTGTATTGTAAATACCCTTCAACTAGACATATAAGTAAAGTGAAGGACAGTACCAGATGCTTAAGAGGCTTAACCCGCATGCCATTTCTCCAATCTCGCTCATCGTTTAAAGTTGCCACCTAATGAAGAATTAGAAAATTGACTATCGATATCAACTCAAACATATTAAAATTGTTAAGTTTAAGGCAAATGGCATAGATCTGATCACTCACAGCTTTCTCAGAAGCTTCAAAAGTCTCATACTCCACAAGGACATGTAACTGTACATAGTAACCAAGAAAAAGGACAATTGAATAAGTCGACACGGAGCTACATTGTCCAACTACTATTTATCATAAACATGGCACCAGCCAAAAAAAATCAATGGACATTGTTGCTTTCTTCTCTTCACTTCTATATTAAGGAACAGAATAGGATACTCAGAAGTTCAATCAACATGCTGTATTGAACGGTGACACACGTATAATTTTCTCTGCACCGGCATTATCAAACCCAAGCATTGTAATAATCCCCCTCCTTATTTTTAGGTCCCAACCTACTACTTCCCACAAAAATTCAGTCTGGTGAAAGAGAACCATTCGGTTCCATTCTTCATTTTGTTTTCATTTCCTACCTAACTTTCCTACCCAACTATCATAATGTCCTCTCACCACAATGTAATTTGCTTGCTATGATTTTGACAAAAAGCTAGCCAATCAGGCTTTTATCCAAGCTTTGCGAAAGATCAAAAAGGCCATACGAGTAAGGGAATCCAAATATGACTCCAGAATAATAGAAGCCTTTAAGCGCAAAGTATCCATAGAATCCATAGAAGCCTTCACGTTTTCCTCAGCTCAGCTCAAAAGACAAGGGGAATATATTTTTTTCTTAGAATTAGGAATTAAAACAAAAATAGATTGTGAAAAGGTGATGACAAAGAAACTCTTATCCATAGTTTTCCTCTTCACATACGGGAAAAAGAAATAAAAGAAAAGAGAAAGAAAACACTTCATGCATGGTTAATGTGTGTGAATATAAAGAAACACGGAAGAAAGCACAATGTCCTTCCACAGAAACCACTTTCTTTACTAGAGCTCAAATGAAAAGCATGAGTAATAACCCCAAATACATAGCCATAATGTCCCCTTTAAGAAAAAACTGAAATATTTTATTTTATCAGTTGGTTTCATAATATACCTTATTACTGATCAGCACATCGCCCTTCCCACTTTTCCCCGACTTGTCTGCCGCATGTGGGTCACAAATGGTAATACTTCTTACGCTAAAAATAGAAAATAATTCTTCATGCACTAAAGTCTAAAGGGAAAATTAGTTTTATGAAAACATAGCTTTGGAAATGAGGATAGCATACCGTCCAGCAGCTCCGAAAATTCGTTGGATATTCTCCTCTGAATGATCCTCAGGTAGATTTTCTACCAAAATAGTAAATAACTATACCCCACATAGAAATGTCATAAAGTTAACATACGTTACACATCAACAATCAAGTTCACAGTATACAAATATGTACCTTCGAATCCCTAGTCTCAGGCAATGGAATAGGATGGAGTCGCTTGACTTTCTTCCCATTAGGACTCACAACCTGTAGTTGGCAGATAAATTAGCGAGTGCTCATACAAAAAGAGGCCTTGGTTGCAACATTTTAAAAGGGAACATGGAGTATCTTACAAGCACAGAGGATTCCCTCAGTGCAGCAGCGATAAATGAATGATCTTGAGTAAGTTTTTTCATTCTCCTGAAGGCAGCAATAAGAGCTATAGGAACTAGACAAATAAAGAGGAAACATTTCAACTTATTTATGCATTGATAGAAATACAACTGCTTACTACAAGACATAAGGAAAAATCAGAATCCCCAGACAACCAAAAAAAAAAAAAGTAGTAGAGCAAAGAACATGAAGTGAGATGATCAAATTGTAATAAAATGAGGTAAACAGTCTTATTTTCAATCATCAAATGTATATAAAAATACAAAAAACGAGCATATAAAGAAATAAGTGCAGAGCCATATAATAACTATGTGCACTGTGCTTGAGCTAGAATATGCAACCTTTTCATGCTTCGACTTTACTTCAAGATATTTATATTTATTATATACCGCGGAAGGAAACAAGCCAAACAGGCCATGTTGAATATTAACAAAGGCTAGAAGCATTGTGAGATAAAAAAGTTTATTGTTATATCGTTCTAGTCCATTACATGAAAAATCATGCAAAGGCCATAATTTCATAAATAGAAAAGGGATCTGTCAACAATCAATTGAACTTCATTCAGAGCAGTCCATGAAGTTCGGCAGCACAGCAGATCCAAATCTGGCTGCACCAGGAAATGTCCAAGTAATGCAACTTGTCAGAAAAAACTGCATGGCTCATCATCCCATCTCTTTTTCTAGTCATGCAAAGTGACCTTTCTATAAAATTGATGTTAATTCCAAAGTTCTGGGAAACAATATGAAAAAGAAAATTAATAAGTCATGCAAGGCCGCCACCCCCAGAACTCTTCTATATTAACAAGATGCTAGAAAGCGAATAATAAAATACTATGTGGAGCCATGTTCGGGTATTTCAGATGATTGAACTCCAAGGAGTCACAAGTCACAGCTTCTGAACCATCCCTTCGGTTTCATCATTTTTGAAATAATCTTTGTTGCCTGTTTGATTCTAAAGTTTACCGGTTTAAAATTAAGATCTGAAAGGTTAAAAATTAAGAACTGAAGCTCCTGATATAGAGCTAAGAAAAACAATACAAAGCCTTTGGTTTCCATAAGTCATGGTCATACAACAGAGAAGATACTTAAAAGTACAAAAAACTTCTTTCTGATGGTTTTGTTCAAGTGTGGCTAGGCAGAATATTCGTCCAAAGCATTCTTGGAACTACTTATTTAATTCCCATAGTTGAGATTTTCAGAAAAATCATAAAGAAACTAAATTCTCTCATGACTTGTTATGCTTCTTGAACCCCTTGAGAATTTCAATACCATTGGGAGTTTTCGTTTCCATTGAAAGATAACAAAATCTACATAAAAATGAAGAACCATATCAAATTATTATTAATGGCCAAGTAACATACCAAAACCTTCCTTGTTTTTCTTAATTATTCCCATCAAGTGCTTATCAGTGGGCAAGTTTTCATCGCTGAAGTAGTACTCTACCTGCGACGACATTTAGAATTAGCATAAAGAACACGTACTCTAAAATAATATGCTTTACAAAATTAAAGAAAAACTAAACGAAGTAAAATCTACATTTCCATAATCTAAATGCTCTATTGAGGTCTTGCATCCAAAAGACCAAGCTAATAGTGGTGTAACACACCACCAACTCCATGATATCACAACCGTGAAATAATCAACTGAAATCATATCCCCCTTGCAGTTGATAATCAAACCATAAGCTTCCCTACGTTCTAATATCCACGAAGGTCACATATAGAAAATAAAATATATGTCCACGACGGTAAACGGATTCGCACACTAATTCTCAAATCCTAACAAGGCTTCTGAATCACAGCAATTTCAATGCATACAGAACCAATAAATTTCTAACGCTAGTATCTGCTCTACGTATACAGATAGAGAATCAAAAAAACCGCATGCCAGACCTAACGAAGCAAAGAAATTCGAGGGTCAAATATGAAGGGCGGAGGAGAGTGAGGATGATGGAGGAGGCAGAGTTTACCTGCTTAATGATCCTGTGCTTCAGATCCTCCAAGAGAACAGCGGCCCTAACTGCGTGTTCGTGGGCGTGATCGTGATTCTCCCTGTTTCCGTGGTCGTGATCGTCTTCGGATGTCAATGATTGAATCTCAGGCATATCGCGACTAGGTGATCCGACGGGATCTTGCGGTGGAGGCGACGGAATGGACTCGGCGACGGGGCAGGAGACGACAGCGGCGGAGGACGGAGTCGGACGCTCATCGCCGGCCATGGTGAGGAGTCGAGGAGGAGAAAAGCGCTAGGCGGTAAGAAACCAAAGTACCTTCACGCCCTTCCTCCCGCTTCGATGGGTTCTTCCGCTGACCCTTTTATACCGATGGCCGACAACCCCCGCTCTGATAAGGGCAATTTGGACATTTCCTGCGGTCCTTTTTCGTTTAGGCCTTTTGAATTCCATGCTTTGCCCGCAATTTCTCGTACTCAATCGACTCCAGTATTACGTGACGCGGCTTGTCTAGTATTGGCGTAGCGGGTCCCGGTCGTGTTGGATCCGGACTATCCGGTTTTTTACGTATCGACCCGGAGACGCGAACCCATATACCAGTTTCTCAAAGAAAATCCACACCAAAATATATTTAAAGAAAAAAAAGAAAGAAAGAAAGAAAGAAGAGAGAGAGAGAGACAAAATAAAAGAGAATAAAATCCAACAGATGTAAATCACTAAAATATATCTGTGCAGGTTGCTGAAGCATATACCACGATCAATTTTAACAAAAAATACGGAAGTGTAAAAAAAAACACCGAGTCAAGAGAAAACTTCTTATTGAATTTTAAAACTAAAACCATAAATAAAATCAAGTTCGATTTCGAACGAAAACCTATACTTAAAAAATAACAACTAGAATAAGAATAAATTAATCCTCATAAATTAATAAAATATTGGAAGGTTAAAATTTTCCAACTCCTCCATATTCCTCAATCATTATTTAATCAGTCATTCCAACATTGATTTGAAACATCTAAAAAAACATAAAAAAAATAATACAAAAACTACTCAATAAGTAATTCTTACTTTGGAATTATGTTTCCTTCAAAAATTTGTAAACATGAAAGAATACCAACCATTTGAAACTTCGTAGTTTCAAAGTTCCTTATAAATCATTTAATACGACTATCAAAACTCAGTAAATCAAATTTTTCACAGAATCAAACCTTCGAAACAAAATTTTATTTTATGTTTTCTCAAATCGATTATAGTTTTTTTTCTTTCCAATTTGGAATTATAATCATATTGTTTCTATAATAGTTAAAATAGATAATATATTTGAGTTGATAATAATAATTGGTTGATCGAATCTCTCTTGTGCATATAATTACTTTATACTTTTAACACATCCAACTATACAAAGATTAAGCCTAAATCATAAATACATATTCTATCGTCTATTCTTTCGAAAAAAGTACTCTCTATCTAAAAATATGGAGTTTATACATTGAAATACACGAAACATGCATGATAAACATAGGCAACCTGACAAACCTTTAAGCAAAGTGAGTTTTCTTTATTATTACTATTATTTACTCTTTTTTCTTTTTTCCTTTTTTTTGGTTAACAAATGCGAAATTTGAGGATAAAATCTTTATGGTTAACTACATCTTTGAAGTGGTTAACAGAACGAAGAAAGGGAACGGAAGAAAGAGGCTATACTCGCATTACTCAAAAATAAATTCTAGCGCAAAGCACTTAATTGAAACTTGGGCTCTGGGAGAGAGTGGTTTTTGCCACAACTCCAAGCCCATACACACACACAGGCAAAACCTATTAATTCCGCCGAAACCAAAATAGGCCTAAACCAAGGCCCATATAAGCAGCCAAAGCCCAAGCCCAACTCCCATACCCAAATATCGAGGCCCATTTCTGA